GTCTGTATTTATTCCTATAAAATTAGCAAAAAGAAATGTAAAAGGTTAAACCTCTAAGCTAGCAAGGCTGTAGGGATTCTCTAGTGGCATTTAATTTTGTAAAGCAACCTGGCATCTCATTACAGACGTTCATGAAAATGATCTTAACTGTCCTTTGTCCCTAGCCTTCTAACTTTAAGGACTTTCCCATAAAGTAGTGAGAGAAAGAGAAAAAGGGAGGGTGGGAGGGAGAGGAGTGGGGAGTGTAGTGCCGTTATTTATAAGAAGTTGTCTTATAGCGAAGCAGCTCTTGGTGTTTTATCTGAGAGTTAATAAACATTTCATGTGAAAATTACAACTTGAAAAACAGTGGCACGACAGCGTACATTGCCAGAGTCTGGCCAGCATAATAGTGTGGCCCAGAGGGAAGTCCCCGAGACTAAAGTCAGCAGATTTAAATTGCAGGATGAACTCTTCCTCTACCCCACTCTGTGACCTTCCCATTTCTGTACCTCACTTTCCCCATCTGTGAAGTGGGGTGGATTCAATGATGGTTGGATGTTTTTCAGCTCTGACAACCCATGTTCTAGACTTAGCAAATCTCTTTTAACTGAAGCCTTTATGGGAAGGAGCAGTGAACACAAAGATAACCAAAGACTGTTCTAGCCTCCGTCTACTATCACCAAATGAATCCCCTTAGAGGAAGGCAGCTAGCCTTTTTCCCCTGAAAAGAAACTTGGTTCAGCCTTAGACCTTTGTTATTTCCAAATGGCCAGAACCTGGGTTAATTTAAAGCATAGAATGTTTTTGTTTTTATTTTCTTTACCATATTGAGACAGAATTTTCAGGAGGACTGGAAAATAATTCAGCATGATCCTCTGTTATTTGAAGTCTACAGTCTGTGCTTTGCCTCCTTTGGACAGATAGAAGATGCTTTGCAACCCCACCTGGTATGAAGGGCCAGCAGTAGGTGACTTCATTTCTGTGGACAAAAATTTATTGGGCACTGACTGTGTACTAGATCTTGTGATGCGCTCCCCGAGAGCCTGCAGGCTGCCATGGGAAACATGTTAGGTTAAACTGTGTGAAATGGCCAATATCTGGCTGCTTTTGACTTAAAAGAAATGGCAATTTCATTTGCTTGAGCCAAAATGGAAAAAGATAATTAAAAAGCAGTGTGCTCCTTGCCGTAATTGAGAGACTGACAGGGTGTGGTGGAGACTAGGAAACTGTGATTGTAAACTTAGAGAAGTCAAGGAGAAAGGTCATGGGAGCCTCACCTTGAAAAATCAATAATAATAATAATGATAATAAAAAAGAATAATAGCTAACATTTATTGAGTACTTACCACCTGCCTTATTCTGTCGTAAGTGCTTTACATGGTTCATTTAGTGGCTCAACCGTTCAGTTATTAAGCCCGTATATTGTGCTAGGTATTTTGAGGAGGAGGGTCTTGACAGTAAAAAAAAAAAAAAAAAAAGACCAAAAAATCTGCCATAAAGCTTACAATCTAATAGGAAGAAAAGGCAAACAATAAGTAAAATAGATGGCAATAACTGAAATGGAGCAAATAAGTAGGAGTATGTTTCTCATGTGTGGGGGGAATGGAAGGGAGGGGGTTGCAGTTTTAAATAAGGTGGTTGGGGAATCATTGAGAAGGTGAGTTTGGGCAAAGGCTTGAAGGAGGTGAACAAATAAGCTGGTGAACAAATAGGCTGATTTCTGGGGAGGGAGCCATCCGGGTGGAGGGAACAGCCAGTGCAAAAGCCCTGAGGTAGGACCATGCCTGGCGAGCTCAAGGAAGAGCAGGCTAGAACAGAGTGATGCCGGGAAAGGGAAGGGAAGACAGGCGAGAGAGGCCATGAGTCAGATCGTATACACCGCCCAGACTACGTGGACTCCTTCAAGTTTGTGAGGGAGATACTGTTTTTATTCCTCTTTTTCAGTTAAAAAAGCAAAAGTTACAGAGGGGTTAAGTAACTCGCTGAAACAATGTCTCACATAGGCGATAAGGCTTTTAGTCCAGGGCAGTGGGGAGCCATGGAAGGCTTTTGAACAGGGCAGGGGCATAGCCAGCTGTGAATGTTAGTGTGTTTCCTCTGGGGTACAGAGAGAAGGTTGTGGAAGTAGTCCAGGCCTGGGGTGATGAGACTGGACCCGGGCCGTGAACATGGGGACAGAGGATGGAGGGGGCTGGGAGCGAGGTGGGAGGTCCAGACCAGGTGAGCAGGTAGAGGAAGAGAAAGCCAGACCTGTCTTGGGCTTATTGATTTAGCAAACAATAGCACTTACAATCCACCAGGCACCATCCAAAGCTTACATTAACTCATTCAATCC